GCTATACTTTTTGCTGCCACTATAAAATATAAATAATAGGAGTACTGTCTGCTAAATTCATGAAATAAATAAATTACTTACCTAAATTATCTGAGGAGCTGATTTGTTGACATCACTTGTTTAACTAGCACTAGCAAACAGTATGATGTGTATCGTCTGAGAGATAGTTACAAAATGTTTTCATGGTTGCCAATGTCAAAAAATGCCATTGTTCATTAAGTCCAAACAATGGTGGTCAAATTCTAACAACTGATCAACAATGCGAACTTTGATAAGCAGTTCTTTGATAATCAGTTCTCAACAAATCGGGACGTTTTAAAAATGCTGTGGGACACAGGACAAATTGTTAAAAATCAGGACTTTTGGCGGAACATCTGGTCACCTTAATACATGCATGTGTATATATAAGTGTGCATGTATGTGTACATAAGTGATGTGAACATGATTGTAGGCATGTTTGTGCACACGAGAGTGTGCATAAATGCTCATGTGCATTATGCATGTGCATGTGTGTTAGTGTGTGTGCTTGTCAGGACCAGCTTCATGGTCAGGCAACCCATGCAGTCACACAGGGGCCCTGTGCTTAGAAGTGCTGCTTGCTTGATTTAAGGTTTGCTGTCTTGAAATGCTTAATATTGATAATTTTTGGACAAAGTCCCTGCAAGTTATATGCTGGGTCACGGTGTTGGTGTGTGGCTGCAGTTGAGAGTGTCTGAATGTGTGTGTATATATGCGCATGTGTAAGGGGTGTGTGTGTTGGTGGTTCTGGAATTTTAGGAAACTCAGAGGGTCTGTGACTCAGGTAAGTTTGAAACCCCCTGCTGACCTCTTTTTTTTGGAGGGGTAGGTAGAATAGCCAGGAGAAGGGCAATCCCAATCATTCACACGGTTTGATAAAATGAGCACCTTGTTTCCACCCAGCCCAGTGCACTGTCAATGTTCGTTTGCTCATCTGTGTCCTCCATGAGAGTGGGACCCATGTCTGACTTATTAGTCACTGTATCTTTAGCTCAGAGCACAATAATCGACACACAGTAGGTGCTTAATAAACATTTGTTGAATAAATAAACATATTACACCCCAAACAGAAGTCCTCAAAATTCCTACTTCCTACACATACATGTCTTTTGCCTTATCATAGATTTCGGGGTTGGAAAGTCAAGTGTTCCGTGCCTCTGCCATCAGACAGGACCTCCAAAAGATTGCCCTTGACTTAATGCCATCTCATGTCCCCTCGCAGGGCCTTACTCCTAATATGTCTGATGACTACAATTATGACTCTGCCTCTTCCTCCGATGACTACATGAACTTCAACTTCACTGACTTCTTCTGTAAGAAAAGCAACGTCAGGCAGTTTGCAAGCCATTTCCTCCCACCCCTGTACTGGCTTGTGTTCACCGTGGGTGCCGTGGGCAACAGTCTGGTCATCCTCGTCTACTGGTACTGCACAAGAGTGAAGACCATGACCGACACCTTCCTTCTGAATCTGGCGATCGCTGACCTTCTCTTTCTTGTCACTCTTCCCTTCTGGGCCATTGCCGCTGCAGACCAGTGGAGATTCCAGACCTTCATGTGCAAAGTGGTCAACAGCATGTACAAGATGAACTTCTACAGCTGTGTGTTGCTGATCATGTGCATCAGCGTGGACAGGTACATAGCCATCGCCCAGGCCATGCGGGCGCAGACCTGGAGGCAGAAAAGGCTTCTGTACAGCAAAATGGTTTGCGGTGCCATCTGGGTGATAGCAGCTGCGCTCTGTATCCCAGAAATCCTGTACAGCCAAACCAGGAAGGAATCTGGCATCACTGTCTGCACCATGGTTTACCCTAGGGACGAGAGTACCAAACTGAAGTCAGCCGTCCTGACCCTGAAGGTCATCCTGGGCTTCTTCCTTCCCTTTGTGGTCATGGCTTGCTGCTACACCATCATCATCCACACCCTGATACAAGCCAAGAGGTCATCCAAGCACAAGGCCCTCAAAGTGACCATCACTGTCCTTACTGTCTTTGTCTTGTCTCAGTTCCCCTACAACTGCGTTTTGTTGGTGCAGACCATAGACGCCTATGCCTTGTTCATCTCCAACTGTGCCATTTCCACCAACATTGACATCTGCCTCCAGGTCACTCAGACCATCGCCTTCTTCCACAGTTGCCTGAACCCTGTTCTCTATGTTTTTGTGGGTGAGAGATTCCGCCGGGATCTTGTGAAAACCTTGAAGAACTTGGGTTGTATTAGCCAGGCCCAGTGGGTTTCATTTACGAGGAGAGAGGGAAGCTTGAAGCTGTCTTCCATGCTGCTGGAGACAACCTCAGGAGCGCTGTCCCTCTGAGGGACCTTCTCCCAGGTGGGTGGTCCCTTTGGAAGGAATGAAAGTATAGTTTCCCCACTGATGGGACCAGAGAGAAACCAAGAGAGGAAAAGGAAGTGAGAAAGAAAAAAAAAAAAAACCCAGAAAGGGATGAATCTGAACAATACTGTCACTTTTAGTCAGAATTTGCCAAACTGGAGTTTTCAAAGTTGACTGGCTACCCCAGGAGGCTATGGATTGGCCCTTGTCTATAGGGGACCAATAGGAAGCCAGTGAACAGCACTGCAGCCCACCCTGGCTTTGCTACTTGCCCAAGCATTACTGCAGTGACCTCCGGGGGAGGCGCTGGGTTTTCCTCAGCGCGTTGTGAACTTAGGTGGCTTTGGTTTCAATGCCACTTCTTCCAAAGGGAGCACTGCCACAGTCCAGAGAAGCAGAAAGCAGATGAAAGTTTCATGAAAACTTCCACCTTTGGGAAATTTTCACCCTGGTTTTGGGCCTGATACCAGGTTTTACAGAATCCTGATCTAGAATCTTTAGAAACAATCTCAGGTCAAATTACCCTCTGATCTGTTCTGGGCCAGGGAGGGTCCTTATTCCTGTTTTGAAATACCTACAGGTCTGACCAGTGAATCCCTGGACAACTGACCACACCAAAAAGTCATCCAGAGTCTGTTGGCTTCCAGCCCATCCCTGTGCCCTTCTGGAGGCTTCCATCTAGATAAGGATGCAGCATGTCCAGTGGAGCCATGAAAGTGGCCCTCAGCCTGAGCGAGGAGTTGCTACTCTGCATTAGTGGGAGCCTGCGCTGGCTCTGCTATGGGCTGGCTCTGTTGAGGGCCCTTGTTTCTGGTCCACCCTGGCTGCTCCCTACAGAGTGGACCGGTGCTGTTGGTCCCCTTCTTTTTTTATTTCAGGTTAATGTGAGGGCACAAACAACCAGGTCTCAATATTTAAATTTGTTAGGTAAAGTCCCTCTTGCAGTTGTGTCCCACACCCAAAGGTGTTCCCTATACCCCTACATTGTGCCCATTAAGTGGGAGCCCCCTCCTCCTCTCTGCTTCTTTCCTCGTCCTCCCTTGAATTGAACTGAGTTTCTCTCCTATGTGGTGGGTCCCCTTCTTTCTGAGGCTGTCAGAAGGCTATTTACTTCCATGCTTCTTTTCTTAGGCTAAGTGCTAACATTTTGAAAGCTTCTAATATAGAGATTAGACTGGAAAAAAAAGTAATAGAATTCCCTTTTGCTTTGTGTCTTTATTTTAACTATTTGGCAAATTTATTATATTTTGAAAACATTTTGCATATTTGCTTTTTAATGTGTACTTGAAATAGTCATTGCTCGTCCCTTTCCTTACCCTGTCTAAATATCTTGAGTGTGTGAAATTAAAAATCAAATAGATGTTTTAAGAGTGTGAAGACCAAGAGACTGAGACAGGGAAATAAGATCTCCAAATGTCTTAAAGCCATCTTGGCTTACTGGTGCTTATTTCTCCTCTGGCTAAACATATTTCCCAAGTTTTTATAGTTAGTCAAATGGAACATCCTAAGAAGACTATTGGAGCAGCACCAAAAACCATCCTGGGCTTTGCCACTTGCTCCAGAGGAAATGTCTGACTTTCCCAGTGCACTGTGGACTACTGTGATTTCAGTTCCAACACCCCCCAAAAGCCCTGGACTCTGCCATATTACCCTTTTTCTCTCTGCCAGCTTCTAAAGCACATTATAGGGGGAAATAAAGTCAGCAGAATATGGGCGGCTTGATAATGGAGGCACAGGGGGCAAAGTGAAGGTCTTGCTGCCCCATCCACATGCTGCCTGTGCGTGGGCCTGGGACAAGCACATCAACATATCAACATGGGCCCTCCACGGCCAGCACCGCTTCCACCATCAGGGGAACGTGACCTCTCCAAGGTCAGTTTGTGGACAGAGCCATCCACAGGACATCATTCCCAGGAGAAGACCCAGATGTCTGCTCTTTTGAGGAACTTAGAAGATTAAACAAGAAGTACAGGTCACACGTAAATAACATTTTCCGATAGGTGGAAAGAACACAGTTGAGTTTGGCTTTTCAATTCTCAAATACCACGCCCTTTGATATTGTGGTTCTGATACTCAGAGTGTCAGTGGTGCTGAGGATGGGAGGAGGGATGGGGAAAAAATGGGGAAAAATGGCAGGGAGCCCACTTTCTCCCTCTGATTTGTAAGAACACCACAAAACTATGAATGCTGCATTGTACCCTAATGCACAGTAACCACATTTAGCTCTGAACTTTTAGGACCCGACCATTGCTATTGGACCCTGCCAGTCCTGTCAAGGCTTCAGTGTAGGAGTAAGGATGTGCTGTACATGTATTGTATTCTAAAGCTTTTAAGCATCCTTTGGTGATAAAGTGTCTTTGTAAATGATTGCATAAATAGGCCTGGTAAAAAATGACAGCATAAATTTTAATTTTGCATTCTAATTAAGATAGATTTAAGTAACAGGTTAATCCTAAAATAAAAATGTTAGAAATATCAACATGGAGAAATATATGAGGACACTGATCTACTCAGTACTTCTAGGAATATGCTTATGAATATTTTTGCAATAAAGATGTAAGGGGAATTTAATATATAATTACATTTCACTGGCCCATAAATTAGAACAAATCAGAAAACTGAATGAAATGTGACATGGTTTCATTATTAAAAAGAAGGTGGCTTTTTAAGTATTTTTTTTAAAAAACTAATTTTAAGCCAATTCACCACAACATACATATACAAACAGGGGATGTTACTCTGAAGTCATCAGCTTGAATGACCCAAGATTCGATCCTCCTGGGCCATCATCAGACCTGCAGAAGAAGCACATACTCATTCATTTACTCAGTCCTGCAGAATAAGCATGCACTCATTCATTTATTCAGATGTGCAGAATAAGCACATGCTCATTCATTTACTCAGACCTATAGAATAGGCACACACTCATTCATTTATTCAGACCTGCAGAATAAGCACATACTCATTCATTTATTCATACCTGCAGAATAAGCACACATTCATTTATTCAGACCTGCAGAATAGGCTAACACTCATTCATTTATTCAGACCTGCAGAATAGGCACACACTCATTCATTTATTCATACCTGCAGGATAAGCACACACTCATTCATTTATTCAGACTGTAGAATAAGCACACATTTATTTATTCAGACTATAGAATAAGCACGTGCTCATTCATTTATTCAGACTGTAGAATAAGCACACACTCATTCATTTATTCATACCTGCAGGATAAGCACACACTCATTCATTTATTCAGACTGTAGAATAAGCACACATTCATTTATTCAGACTATAGAATAAGCACGTGCTCATTCATTTATTCAGACTGTAGAATAAGCACACATTCATATATTCAGACTATAGAATAAGCATGTGCTCATTCATTTATTCAGACTGTAGAATAAGCACACACTCATTCATTTATTCAGACTATAGAATAAGCACACGCTCATTCATTTATTCAGACTATAGAATAAGCACATGCTCATTCATTTATTCAGACTGCAGAATAAGCACTCACTCATTCATTTATTCAGACTGTAGAATAAGCATGCACTCATTCATTTATTCAGACTGCAGAATAAGCACACACTCATTCATTTATTCAGACCTGCAGAATAAGCACACACTCATTCATTTACTCAGACAACTTGTGTATATGCTCTAAGGCAGCCTGTCAGTCCACCAAGGTTATAATGGGCAATGTGACAGTCTTTCCTTCAAGACATTTACATCCTGGCAATATGGAAGAGCCAGATTTAGAGGGTAGTATGGAAGACTCTGCCAGGTCCCTTAGATGAGAATCATGAGGCTGGTGTCATTTCATGGCTTATAGACTGGTTTGTAGATAGTTCCCAGGACAAGTCACACACACAGCAGTGTCATTAGAACAACAGAGACTCCCCAGGTAAGATCTTGGACAAGTAGCTTTCTGTGAACCTGTTCTGGTACCTGCACTAAACACTCACCCTCCCCTCCACATGCAAATACATTGTGTGTAGTAGATATAATATGCAGAATTAATGCCTTATTAATATGTAAAGTTAACCATTGACCAGATACATACTTCAGGTCTCAGAGTTCAGCTGCTAGAAAACTTCTAGGAGCCATGTCTGCAGTGACGAGGAACTCATTAACAGTCACCTGCTGGAGGCACACATTTGCATGTCTTTTTCAGGCTTTGATAATATAAAGTCAAGGAAAGATGTTGCATGGGTCATTGGTTATCTGTCCGTACCAATGTAGAAATGATTAGAGAAGCATTGCATTGTCACAAGATGATGCTGGCCAGAGAGCTCAGCTGTAAGGGAGGGCACATGAGATGGAGAGAGAAGGGTCTTGTCTGTGAGGAAAATTCTAAGGCTGTGGTACTCACCAACTAACACATAGTTAACAACCAGAGACTATTGACTGAAGGAAGAGAAAGACTTCTTACGAGCATCTAAAAGCAGGTGTTGAAGGCCATGATTATTTCTCTTCTTTCAAAGACACATAGAGCCCTTTGCCAGACCTCACCTGAGACAGGCTGACCAGAGGACAGGAGAGGAGCCCTCCACTAAAGTGGAATTGGCTAACTTTAGGAAGGGACAGAGAGCCCAGGGTACCAGAGCCTGGCTGGATGCTGTTGGCTGTGCTTTGATCTGGAACTCATGGGAAGTTCTATTTTTGTGGGGCTAATTTGGATTTAGAAAGCCAGAAAACCTCACTCGAGGACCATAACTCACAACTTCAAAAATACAAAATACATATTGTATTTTTTTGACAATAAACAACTGGTACAGCCTTCTGTATAAACGATCATACACAGTAAAGGTCTGAAGGTCAAGGGCTGTCATAACAAATCCCTGGTTGAATCCCAAATTCTATTTCTAGGTATTTACCCAAAGGGCAAAAAAAGACATTTTTGAAAAAAAGAAACCTGTACTTGAATGTTTATAGCAGCATAATTCACAAATGCAAAGATATGGAAACAACCCAAGCTCCCAGCAATACATGAGTGGATTAACAAAA